AATTAAAAAAAAACACGCCGCCCGGGCAAAAAAAAAAAAAAAAGAGAGAGAGAGAGAGAGAGAGAGAAAAGGCAACTGCTATTTTGGCTATCAGTAGCTCTCTGCTTCCTGTGCGGTTCTGCTTCCCACTTGATTACACCCCTTGGCTGTGTCTGTGCACAGGTGATGTATATGCCTCCTCTTAGTTGTTGTATTGGTACAGATAAAATAAATGAGCTCTAAAATCATAAAGCTGTTTGATCTTGATCGATAACAAGCAGGGATATAACCTGCTTTTCCTATTGCCAGCTGGTTCCTAAGTTTGCTACTGTGAACCCCAACTCTTTATAGGCCACAGGCAACACATTACGCTCTAAGCTGTAGCTTGGCTTCGTTGTCAATCTAAACTGGAGCTGCAGTAACCATGGTTAACCTTCCAGAGGTTCTCCCAGGCAATGTGCTCAAGCCTCAGCGTACAGGCAACTCTTCTGAGCAGGCTGGTGTCGACTGTTGCTGTATCAAAAGAGCTAAAACACAGATGGCTTTTCTTTTGTGAACATGCAGCTCTAAGCTTGCAGTGAAGTTCTTCACTGAGAAATTTAAATTTTTCCCGTACGTGGCAAAGGCACGTTTATGGCAGTTACTCAGGTGTGCTGAAAATCTGTACCTCTGTGGCACCACGGCAGCAACATCCATCCCATAAGTGAGGCAGCACAGAAAAGTCTCTACCCTTGAAAACTAGTTTCTTGATTGGAGCCAAAGGAGTCCTTAGCAGCAGTCAGTGAATTAAAAGCATTAGGACTCTCTTCTTTGTGGGATTTTGGGGGGACTTTGGGGGGTTTTGTGAACTCCTGTAACATAAACATGAAACTATTTCCAGTAGAGGGCAATAACACAACAAAACAAATCACACAGCGTGTTTGCTAGTAATGTCAAGCAGATCATCCAAGCTATTCCTCACTTCACCTGGAAGTTTTCTACTTTTACTGAAATTGTATAAAAAAAAGAAGCACTTTCACCTCCTCAGATGAAGCTGAGTGAAGGCTGTATGGTGTCAAACCTACATCTTTACCAGCAATATCTTAGCTGGAGCTATAGGAAGAAGGGCCTTATTTAGATAAGCTTCTACTTGTTGCATGAAAACCAATTTTTTTTTCAGCCGCTTTCTTAAGCAGCTGTGCTTAAATTAACCTTGTTCTTAAATTAATACAAAATTGCCACTGCCTGGGATTTTATTGCAAGCCAGTTGCACTCCCTATACTTCTTGTTCCTACCACAAGGGACTAGACGTGGATGGTGTCTCCGAGTGTCTATTTACTCTGTTGGTATAATGCCCTGCATAGCACATATAGAATAAACACTGAGCTATGAAGCAATTTCCCCTTGTAAAGTGTTTGATCTGTTATGGGAGGTCCTGGTACTGGACTGATGCTCACTGAATTTCTCTTTACAGGGTTTGGTATGTGCTGGAATGGCTGATATGACCAGACCAGCAGAAAAGCTCAGCACAGCACAGTCTGCAGTACTAATGGCCACAGGTAAAGCCAAAGTTACTCCATGCATTTACACAGTCCCCTTTCTAAAACTGTACACGCTTCTTTCCGAATCTCCCATCAGTACTAATCCACTTCTACAGAAAAGGCTTAACTATAATATGCTAGTCAGATGATAATTCTAGGACAAACCTACACTTATTATTAAATCTGTAATTGTTCTGTGGTTGCGTAAGAGTTCTCTACATGTGTCTTAATTTGGAATTGTCCAGAGCCAGTTGTTATGAGTTAGGATACGAGCTTCATCCCTTAAGTTACGATGATACCACTCACTCCACTAAGTGACATCTTTTGCTTCAAGTCAAGTAATTTTGAAATCAGTCCAGGATACAGTGACTTTTTTTAGAACAGACTTTAAGGGATTAAACAATGGTAGGGTAATTACACTAACGTAACTGGAAAGAATTTCCATGTGTTAAAAGAACTTGGAAGCAGTGGTACATGGACCGCTGCGCTGCCGTCTGCTATGAATTTTCACACTGGCAGAAACAATATTCTGTATTTAAGGTGTTCCACCAGATCTTGTCACGGTCAGGACTTGTGGCAGCTAAAGCTGAAAATCAAAATTACAGCTGCCACCTTCTTCCTTCTCTGGACTTTATTGTGATATCTGACACAGTGCTGTGCATTTTGCAAGATATGTAAACCTTTCTTGACTGGTGGATTCTGTAATCTCTAAAATGGTGCGGCAAGTTGGGTATACTACAGCAAAATGCCACTACCCTGCGACTGCGCTGGAGAATTAAGGTCTAGGCTGCTGTAGAGTACAGAGGATCTTTGTTTGATATTAAGACTATGATTGACCTTATTGTCTAGTTATCTTGGAAAAATGCAATACATACCCATAGCCGTCCCACTGGCACTTGATGCACTTTTAACTGAGAAATGGCTAGTTCTAAAAAGAGCAGTTGTCTAACATGAAGTTGTAAAACTTGTTTACTTAAACTGCCACATGATTCTGTCTCCAAACTTAGGGGAATGCCTGAATATTTCACTTTAAACACTTAACGTCTTTAAACTTTTCCTTTCATTCAACAGGCCTTATTTGGTCAAGGTACTCTCTAGTTATTATTCCTAAAAACTGGAGTCTGTTTGCTGTGAACTTCTTTGTTGGCTGTGCTGGTGGCTCTCAACTCTTCCGAATATGGAGGTATGTACTAGGTTACGTACTGTAACTAAGCATTCACACCACCTCATCTTAACCAGGACTACCAGCCTCGATGTCAGTGCAACAGGCAAGAAGAACTGAACAATTAATTAAACATTGCAGAACTTTTTTGCTACATTGTCAGTTTTCCAGTTGAGTGGGAGTGAATCTATAAATATTTTCAGTATAGCTAGAGCATATTTTAAGGAATGTTCTATGTAAGCTGTAGTTTCTAGGTCTAAGGCATTCTTTAAAAGTTGTAGGTCTGACTGACAAACAGCCTAGACTTTCTCCTCCGCATAAGCTTTGCTCTTCCCTCAGCTTTCAGTGTTGAATTGTGTCAGTTCCAGCTGGATCAAAGGGCTCTTAAACACAGCAGCATTTAATTATTTTTAAAATTATTTCTCGAGGGAAAACTTGGGGAGTTCTGTGGCTTCAGTACTGGATAGGAATGAGGCAAACTTAACAGCTAATTTGGAACTTCTTACATGAAATAAACTATCCTATCCTAAGTTTCCACCCTCAAGTCCACTGTAATTTCAAACCTCCTCTGCTGAACAGATTATTAGGAAGACACTGTTATTGTAACTGGTATTCTATTCTTAGTGTGTGCACCTTCTTTTTTTTTTCACCCCGTAGGTATAATCGGGAGCTAAAAGCAAAACAACAAGAGCAGCTGCAGCAAAGAGATGCTTAAACTAACAGGTCTAATCCAACAACGCACAAACCCTTCCCCATGGGACCTAGCTTCACTAATTTTAATGTTTTTTCCTCTGAGAAAATGAAAGAGGAAATTGAAATATTTAGAGAGCAAGTGTTTTCTAAGTGCAAATAACAAAGTATCTCCATACATTTAAATAAAGTGCAACCTTTTAAATGGAAGTAAAATTGCGTGTCTTACATTGTGTCTTTGAAAGAAATCCCTCAGCTTTCAGTGTTGAATTGTGTCAGTTCCAGCTGGATCAAAGGGCTCTTAAACACAGCAGCATTTAATTATTTTTAAAATTATTTCTCGAGGGAAAACTTGGGAGTTCTGTGGCTTCAGTACTGGATAGGAATGAGGCAAACTTAACAGCTAATTTGGAACTTCTTACATGAAATAAACTATCCTATCCTAAGTTTCCACCCTCAAGTCCACTGTAATTTCAAACCTCCTCTGCTGAACAGATTATTAGGAAGACACTGTTATTGTAACTGGTATTCTATTCTTAGTGTGTGCACCTTCTTTTTTTTTTCACCCCGTAGGTATAATCGGGAGCTAAAAGCAAAACAACAAGAGCAGCTGCAGCAAAGAGATGCTTAAACTAAGAGGTCTAATCCAACAACGCACAAACCCTTCCCCATGGGACCTAGCTTCACTAATTTTAATGTTTTTTCCTCTGAGAAAATGAAAGAGGAAATTGAAATATTTAGAGAGCAAGTGTTTTCTAAGTGCAAATAACAAAGTATCTCCATACATTTAAATAAAGTGCAACCTTTTAAATGGAAGTAAAATTGCGTGTCTTACATTGTGTCTTTGAAAGAAACTGACTGTAGATTGTGCCCGCAACGAGTTGCTGGGCCCCACCTTATCTGACTCGAGTGAACAGTGTCAGGAGTGACACGGTACTGGTGACAGCCAGAGCTTCGGACTGATGTAATCTTCTTTCATGTCATGGTCAGACCTGGGTGGGGTTTTACTGTACTTCCAGTAACCAACAAGAAGTAGCATTTGCATTTCATTCCCTGATGCTCTTCCCTGGTAGTGTAAGGATATTCTTTTCAGCTTCAGCTATGTAGATCTTAATTTGTTTCCCCAGCCACCACTGTCGTTAACGAGAGGAGGACAAACTAGTATGTGCCAGGGGTGTTTTAGCTTCTGTCATCTTCCACAACTAGAGGCAGAAGATGGGCACATTTAAGTACCTGGTTCTTGGGAGTGTGAAAAATAAAACAGCCAAAACTTCCACTACTTGCTTTCCACACCCTTCTTAAGTACATATAGATTTCTTGTGAAGCCATCCACTCAGGGAACATGTACATGTCAGTTCTCCAAAGCTTTTGAGGCAGCGGTCTGCTCCCATCTGTGGCACATTTGTGAATAAACACCGAAGCCTTCCCTGAAAGTCAACATCTCTCCCTATCTACTCTCCTGTAATGAGGAAAAAGGTGCCACTGTGAAATAGCTTCTGAGCAAAGGCTTTACATCGCACTGCAAAAGCTCACCTGTTACAGAGAAGTCCAAGGCAACTGTGCTCAGAGCATGGCATCGATGAGCTTCCCTGGCAGGTTCTCCGAGACCTCTTTCACCAAAGCTAGGAGTCAGTACCAGAGCTCAGGAATTTACATCCAGGAGAAAAAGGTAGCTGTGAGACAGCGTAGCTTCTTCAGGATTCACCTTTCAGGAAAATGGAACTGGAGTTTTGCAAAGTCCTGTTATTAAGTCTCTTTCCACCCCTACTTTCCCCCAATCCTGTTTGAATGATCACTCCAGCGTGGCAAGGGTGGAGAGGAAAGGAAATGGTTCTATAGTTACCAGAGCTACAGCACCTTGTCGTGGCACTGATGTCCCCTGCTTTCTCACCCTATGTATAATGTTGTATTATCCTGTGCAAAGTATTTGTGCAGGATACTTGAAGGAAAGCATTTTCCATTCTTGCAAGGCGTGCACCTGATAGTCTGTCAGCTCCCCTTTCAGAGGCTGTCCTGCTGTGAAGCCATTTCTCTCCATTTGCATTCTGCTACAGTTTCACTGGTATTTCTTAGTTCTCCCAGCTGAAGTGGTAATACAGGATATCAATTCAAATGGTGAACTCTCCAGCTATGCCCTTTGCTGAGCTGACGGAGACTGCAGGGACCGAAGAACATTGCTGGAAAGAGAGGTCGTGTATTTCAGTCCCCCGCCCTTCCCAGTCCCTAACCAGGTAAGACTCGTCCAGCAAACCAGTAATGGGGAAAAAAAAAAAAAGTGTATTAAAATATTCACAAGATTACAATAGAAAACATGAAAGTCCATTCAAGAAAAAATATCCAAGATAACTGTTTCCAGATGATGAGTCTGTAAAAGCAAAAGCACTAACAGTTGGTACACTGGCTCTTCATGTAATCAGACCATGCAATGCATATCTTGCTCCCTTGCACAGATTATACACCTGTCTTACAGGTGTTTGTTCTCTTGCATACCTCCATGACAGAGATTTGCACAAGAGAAGTACCCAGTCTATGTTTCCAGTTACATTTACCACATAAAACTAGCCGGCATTGCAGGGAGACCGAACAGATTGCACAGCACACTGCTCTCCGAAGGCATTGAACCTACATTTTAGAGTGCAAAAATACCTTTAAATGAAAGGGCTTATTAGCTTTAGGGCAGTGGAGGAGAAGGAAAAGAGAAGCCTCAAGAAGAGTACAATTGCTGAGCATAGTTAATATGATTTTGTAGTCTCCCATATAAAAATGTTACCTAAATACTAGCACCACAGGGGTGTGGCCACAGCCCAGAAGTCTTACCCACCTTCTCACCTTTGATGGTTTTAAAGAGAAAATATTTCCATCACCTATTATACAATAAGAACATTTTGTATTTGAGGTCCTAGGTAGATACATTAATAATGTAAAATTCCAAGACAAGATTTCGATACAGAGTGAAGGTGCTTGGTTTACAAATCAGTCAGCCCACACTTGACCTCAATGAATCCACTCTAAGGCAATGCAGCTTTTAAGTTGCATACACACGTTTACTGCAGTTACAAGACAGATGGTTACCTAAACAGTTCTCACAGTTTAAAAAAGTTAAAAACCTAATTCCAGCTCTTCTAGTCACGAATTGAAATATCACTAAGGCTTTGAGAGAAAACAAAAACCTACGGGTCTCCAGTTGTAAATGACACACCATTCAGTTAGTTACAGGGACATATTTGTCACCCCTTAATGGCTCTTAATGCCATTTCATGAACATGCCGACCATCTCCCTCACAGAACAACTGCTGAAGTCAAAAGGGGCGATGGAGATTCGATGTACTGAGTACAGCTAGCAATTTACTTAGACTGATACTTCGTGATTATTTGTAACACTCTTCCCCAAATTCATTTCCGTTAATCAAAAATAGGGAAGAATATACCCACTGTTAGTAAAAAGCCAAAACTTTTCCACTTTGCAGTTCTGTTAAAAACAGGGAAGGTGAATGATGCCATTCGTATTCCTGGCTCTAGGGGGTGCCAGCTGGTTTAGCTGCCAGAGCCCAGGCTGGCCATCCAAAACTGCGCTCCTACAGTGGGTAGAAGGTCACTTTTACCCGTAAAATTCAAACGGATCCCAGTTTTGTTTGCATGATAAATAAGAAAATTCACTGCAAGTCTTTTACATCACACAGACCTTCCCCAGCTCCACTATCCAGGAGCAATGACCCACGCAACAGTTTTAGTCATTTGCTACTGCGCCAAGAGAGGCTGCCTACCCCTCAGCTGTCCTGCAGCCAGCCTGCCTGCCGCGCAGCACTTCTTTTTAGAATAGATGGTCCTAAAAAGAGCTAGCAGCAGCATTACAACAGTGCAAGGACAACACACTTAGGGTTCCTCCAAGTCCAAGCTGTTCCTTTCCACCTGCAAAGAACAGCATCAGAGAATTCAGAGAATAGCAGCAGAGCAAACAGAGTTAAACTGCTGGTCACCGTAGCATCAGGATACGATGACCCTGTCTGACTTTAATCTTTGCTTGCTAGCCATCAAAGAAGTAGAAGTCCTCTGTCTCCTGAGACTTTACTAACTAAGCCAACTTAGCATCAGTCCCTTTCATCAGCACAAGTTATCGTGTGATTAAACAAGCTTAGATAACCTGAGGGTCAAAAACTTCGGAAGTGCCTCACATTGCCTCAGGTTCTTCTGACATCAGCCTGAGTAAGTTATTTAATAGCTACATTGTTCACGCTCCTATGACAAAAAAAACAAAAAACAAAAAAAGATTAAGTCAACAGCCTTCGCGCTGGAGAGGGATTCAGACTGATTTCTGCTATTTCTGGGGAAGGGACTTATGTTTCTTTCTAAAAATATGTTCAGCATTTTTTAAAAATACTTGCAAGTTCATTCTGCCTTCACAAAGAGGATCCAAGCAGCCTTGCAATGAGCCTCCTCAGCACAGGCAATATGAACATACCTGTAGCTAAACAAAAGCAATGGAGGGGGATGGTTCCGAAAGTTAGTTAGCACCAGCCAGATCGGCATGTGTCCTAAGTCACCACCAAACAAATCAGCGTGTTTCTTAAAATTAGCACCAGATAGGCATGTTTCCTAAAGTCAGCACCAGATCAGGATTGTGCTCAGATTCTCCAGTATATTCCAGCAGGAAAAGAAACAAACATTAGTAGCAGACTTCAGAGCCAAGGACAGCCCTATCTTCTTATAGCAGCAGGTTTTTGATGGCTACATTCATCACATTTCTCCCTCTTGTGCTAAAATGTCTGCAGAGAAAGATGGTGATGCACAGGGATGAACACGGGCAGATCAAAATGAAGTTTCTCCATCAACCACGTCAAAAGCATTTGTTTCTTACTAAGCGTAAAACAAATGTTGGGAAGTAACGGCCTGATAGATAAGGAAAGTAGCAGCAGCAGGATTCATCGTGATCTTAATGGGGCTTCTAACAAAGGCAGGTGTTGTCAGGAAACCAGTGAAGTGTGACCCTGATGAAAGAATATAGTGTTGGCTTACCCAACTTTGATGGGAAAAAAACCGCTATACATAAAATAGTTATTAAAGTTGCACTTTCATAATTAAAGGATTATCTAATGTGGTTCTGAGAGGCTCTGCCATGGGCCTAAAGCTATTTTTCATTTACTTCATGGCACAGTGGAATGTAGCTTGATACTTGCAAACTTAAGCCTAAAAGCATTGCAAGCTTACTGGAGGACAGGATGAGAATTCAAACCAAGTTTTCAACTGACAAACTGAAGATGAAATCTGAAAAAGCTGTAACATAATTTCAGTAGAGACAAATCTGCAGATGGTACAAAACCAGGAGTTGCTGGCACACCAGATGGTTGTGCCGCCATTCAGAGGGACCTGGACAGGCTGGAGAATTGGACTAAGAGGAATTTCATCAAGTTCAAGAAGGAGAAGTGCAAAGTCCTGCACCTGGGGGGGAACAACCCCATGCACCAGCACCTGCTGGGGGCCACCTGGCTGGAAAGCAGCTTTGCAGAAAAGACCCTGGGTGGGTCCTGGTGGACACCAGGTTGAACATGAGATAGCAGTGTGCCCCTGCTGCAAACGGCATCCAGGGCTGCATTATGCAAAGTATTGTCAGCAGGTCGAGGGAGGTGATCCTTTCCCCTTTATTGAGCACTGGTGGGGCCACACCTGGAGTACTGTGTCCAGTTCTGGGCTCCCAGGTACAAGAGAGATATGGACTTACTGGAGCAAGTCCAACCACAAAGGTGATAAAGGAACTGGGGCAACTTTCATATGAGGAAAGGCAAAGACTTCAGCCTGAAGAAGAGAAGGCTTGGGGGGGATCTTATCAATGCATATAAATACTTGATGGAAGGGAGTAAAGAGCACTACTCAGTAGTGCTCACTGGAAGGACAAGAGGCAATGGACAGAAATTTAAAAAAAGGAAATTCCACCTGAATGCAAGGAAGCACTTTTTTTACTGTCTGATGGACTCTAAGAGATGAAACAGTGGAACAGGTTGCCCAGAGATGTTGTAGAGTTTCCATCTGTGGAAATACGCAAAACCCAACTGGGCGCAGTGCTGGGCAACCTGCTCTAGCTGACTATGCTGGGGATCCAGGGGAGGTGTTGGACTATATCATCTCCAGGGGTCCCTTCCAACCTCAACCATTCTGTGACCAATTCTATGAAATAGACTGAACTAGGAAATGGATAAGAATCAGAGAGAAGGGGTTATGGTAGACCAAACTGAAAGTTATATGCTGCTACAAAAAAAAAGCCAACACCACATTAGGATGTACAAAACAGAAATCTTTCTACTATATACTACTCTGAGATGACCTCAGTTGGAATGTCACTTCTAGTTTTGAGCACCAGATTTGAGGATACAAATGAGTCAGCTAAAGAAAGATGCTCTTCAGCTGAAGAGAATGTTCAGAGATCCTTAACAATGTACGAGGAGTTTAATCTAGAAACAAGAAGCTGGGAAATTATATTCAAGTAGTAGACTTGCAGAGAGGAAGGAAATAAACTGCCCTCCGCATCCTCTGTGCAAATACAGGTTACATAAAAACCCACACATCAAAAAACCCGAAGAGTGAAGCCCTAGATTTCCTCCAGAGGTCATTCACTCTCCACTACAGGCTTTTAAGAACGGATAAAGCATCTCTAAGGAAGTGACAGTAGTATAACGGAGCCACGCGAGAGAGGTGAGGGAGTACTACAGCTTCCAGATCCCTTGGAGCCCTTTTTCATGCTTGTATGAAATGACAGAGCTTTGAGGAAGAAACATTTCATTGAAAGGTTCAACAGAGCCTGAGGCAACCACCTACAGCTATAGCTTCTTATCCCTTTAACTCACTAGCTCTTAAGTTTTCACAGGTGAACTACCATTTCACAAAATTCATTTGGTCAACACTATCCCTGTACCTTTAAAGGACTAAGCTTGAATAGATGAGCTCAATACAGAAGTAAACAGCTCTGTGACCTCTGTTACACAGGTCAGGTTGGCCTACACATTTCCTTCACTTACACTGCTAAGACATACATTTCTGATAGCTAGGAGTCACAATTTGGCTTACAAGACCAAGTGAGAGTGTCTAGTTTATATGAGAAGGCAGCCTGTACTGAGAATCTGACCACAGAAAGATAAATACCCTGTATACATAAAAAACTCTATGAGTATAAAGAAGGTATCTTCATCATATTCACCTCAAGAAAAGAAATTAGGCCCTATAAGCAAAAAAAGAATCTCCAGGTCAATCTAGAATCTTCAGGCATCTTCCAGTTTCTCCATTAATAATCAAGATAAAAATATTTTAAAATTGTGATGGGATTTTCACTTTCTTTGTCGTCACACAAGATACAAAAAAGAATATTGGCAATTTATAAGCAAAATTCTTACCGCATTTCAACATGCAACATTGGTCTCACTTCTGTACGATTAAATAGACTATTTACACACAATACATATATATCTTTCCCTCTGTATGCACATGCATTGGTCCTAGCCTAGGCGTCAAAGGCCACATGTGAGTTCTCTGGGTCAAATCTTGTTCAAGCAATTCCAGTCTGAACGTGTGTTTTCCTTTGGATAGCTTAGGATCTCATCTCAGTTCTTCCGAATATCAGCATAGACCACAGACTCTGACTTGTTAATCTTGTCGCTGTGCTGTCCTCCGGAGTGATCTAACTGCGCGTAAATGACTGGGCCCTGGGGAACAGAATAAAAAAAAAGCACAATCAGTATTTTTCAGAATGGGCCATATTGCCCCTCGCTTCCACAGGGGCTGCAGCAAGACCAAAGCTAAAGCAAGACCACAGAACTTTTATGACTGCTGACGGCACTTTGAAGCAGGTGGAATGAACCCTCATCTAGAAATGAGCTCTAGTCTGCCACCTTTCTCCTACCAGGAGCATGCTGAACAGCACCATTTCCTCCCGGTAATACTGCTACGGCTGCTTGCTTCTCCCAAAAAGCAAAATCTAGAATCCTTTGTTCTGCAAAGCAGCAACTCCTATGTGCTATGGAGCAAAGATACATGGCTCAGTCAGATGCATGCCAGATCTAACATTGTTCTAGAGGAACTGTACTACAGATTCACCAGTAGACAGCAGAGCATATTTCCCCTACTGCCTCTCAAGTCCTGTAAAGCCCAGCACAGCTGTACCACTCGGAGAACGCGGGAGAGAACAAACCTGCAGCCACCTTATGACGCCGCCCACTGCCCAGGCAAGCGATGGGATCAAGACTTAGCAGTGAGCCAGAAAACACTGAAACAGTGCAGCAATGCCGAATTCTTACCTGACTTCTGAGCCAACCCAGGCAGCGAGCACCTCCACAGGCACACTGGGCAAGCATGACCACCCACCTTCGTTCTATTTGCCAGGGTGCAGTGGAGGATGTTACAGCACTCTCTTTCAGCAGAGCATGCAAACACACCAGCGCCTTCCTAAAACACCACGTCCTCCAAAACACAGCCTGCAGGAAAGCGAACTGCAGCTATTCAAGACGGGCTGAGGACAGGACTGCAGCCTGTAAAGAGCAGGGACCCTTTCTGTCCATACCCTTTACGGACCTTTATGGAAAGGTCTGACCTGCATCTGGGGGTGGGTGGGGGAAATTACAAGGAGAGTCTAGACAAGATGGCCCAGCACCCTATCCAGCTGAGTCTTAAAAGTGTCCCATGTGGCGGAGTCAACCACCTTCCCTGGGGAGATTATTCCAATTCCAATTTTAGTTTGGCTGTGGCTTTTTTAGCAGTTCCTGCTTCAAAACCGTTTCATCATTTAACTGTTTCTGTTTCCCTAATGTGCCAGGAAGAAGTAGTCTTCACAGGCATTTCTCCTACCCCCTTCTCCCCAGTTCTGTTGGTATCCTGCCAAATTAGAAAGCATCTCTATGGAACTGACCCAGAAATCCTTCCATCTATCTTCCAAAGCAATTAGGGGCCAGAGATGAGAAGAGACCTTCTGTACAGAAAATTAAGTCCTTGAAGGACCATAGGTATACTTCTGCACATCTGGTTTCCCCCCCAGGACAATGGCAAAGCCCGCACCTGATAAATACCTCATTCTCTTTCAGAAGTCATTTAAATCCAGATTTGCTTCTTTCTGGGTAAAGTATTTCCCAAGTGATAAAGGGTAGAGGAAGGAGATGGACAGAAGGATGAAAACAGGCGAGCAGATATAAAACGCTGAATAAGTAACAGACTGAGAAAATGCTCAAAAAAAATACACTGATGTCTTAAAAAATTCTGAATTTCAAGTCTCATTAGAGCCACTTTTTTTTTTTCTTTTGCCGCTGTTGGCTCTCATGTTGTTCTGGTCTCCAACATTGTACCAGGATTACATTACTAACTCCAATTAGAGTGCAGTGCCTTGAAGTTTATATAGACAAAGTGGCCATAAGGTTTATTTGTAAGCGATTTTGGAAGTCTCATCTGCCTGAGGCCACAGGTCAAGGGCATGATAAATTCAGCTTGAGAACACTTCCTATCAGTTAAAAAAAAATTAAAAAATAAATCTACAACTGCATGAAGGACTCACTATGACGTTTCAAGTTTCCTTCAAGTAATTCTGATACGTCAATTTTCTATCACAGGAGTTCACTCATGATCAGTTACCTTATCACTACTCTAATTTTATGCCAGGTTAAATGTAGCTATTTTGCTGCAACCCGCATGTTAGGTGGTGGTGGAGAGACTGACTGGTATGATCACCAAACCAAGCTATCATTGTCTCAATGTGTTCACTATCACCTAAAGAAGTGGTAGATTAGCTAAGACAGAGAAAAGGAGGACCGAGGATTTATTATAATGCTCCATCTATTTGACTTGCCGCCAACCGTTTTTCTAGCTGATCATAATCAGCACCAGGGCCATTTTTTTTCCCTGCATTTGATACCTCCAGTGATCTGAATCTTTGTAAAGACCCTTCTTCCACAAGTAAAAGCTTCAAGAACGTCTAAACAATTCAAAACTTCAGATCCCCAAATAAGCTCACCCTTATTCTACAGAACCAGAAGACAGACCAGCACTGCCATACAAAACCCAGCATTTCCCTAAGCCTTGCGATTTTTCCATTCAGAACTGAAGGGAAAAGAGTAGCAGGTGTACCAATACCTTGCTAAGGGTTTCTCAGCAGAGTCATGAATTGCAAGTTACAGCAAAGAAAAAGGAATTACAAAGTTAGACCATCACCATACCGTGATCTATGGTATTTTCAGATTTTTTAGATTCTGAAAGATGTTGCAACCACCACAGATTCTGGCTCCAGGAAATTTATCTGAAATTTAAATCAAGATTCCTGGCACCATGAACTGGTCCTGGTGTCTTGAGCTCGAACATAGCCTGTTCAGATATGTCTTAAACCAGAAAATGCAAAGCCAGAGATCTGCTCTTAAGTTAATGTAGCTTTAGTGCTCCCTGCTTGTTCACTGACAGACCTATCTGCTTAGGGTCTCCATACTGTACTGCTCTGTGCATCAGAAACGCACTTCTACGTAAGTTACACTTCAAGATCAGCGGTCCTTCAGCCTGCCCAGAAACGAATACTCAGCTACTTGCAAAGCACAAAGACAAATGACAGCCACCTTGGAGTCAGCATATCTTGGGACAACACACATCTGCCTTCCAGCTTACCTGCTGCAACCCAGATTACTAGCTAAACAAGGATATCCATGTAGGAAACACATACAGTTCTTGCCTTCACTGGAAATGCTTTTCTCACTCATCCAAGTAACAGTCATGGTAGAATATGAGTCACTACGGAATGATGGCATGGAGAAGAAACACCACAAATTCTGACAGGACAGAACATACCTGCTGAGAAGGAAGACACAGTGAAAACACGTGGAGTTGATTCAACCAGCTGAGCACTCACAGAATCAGACATGCATACTTTCAGCACGCTGGGGCACTCCAGAAAGCAAGGTCCACACCCAAACACAAAGGAAGTGCAGGCTCAAGTGCACTTTCAGCTGAGAAGTGATGTGGACAAATACTTCATCACTGATTCTTGAATTGATACATAAAGAACAAAATGAATAAACTTTATTTAAGACATTTAATTAAAATCCACTCTTGGGGACTGAACACCTCTATCATTGTTTTTAACTTGCAGAGGCAGGGGTTGTGTATTGGTATTCACAGTTCTTCTCCACGAGTGAAGCACGAAGCATTCAGTCACTTCCTACACATGCTACCGAGTAAAAGGCTACAAGTAAGTCCACAGGCCTTTACTGTTTGACCACGGCACTGACTGTGTTAACCACTGGTCTAAAACTGCCAAGCAATCCAAGACACAAAAGTGTGCCTGAATCAGCAAGAAGCCTGCCACAGTTTCTGGGTACTGCTAGGAATCCGAATATCAGCATTGCACCTACACAACAGCTCAAAAGCTTGAATACTACAACTAATTTCTTGATTACCAAAAAATAACACCTTTTACTTATATGTGATTGCTAGATTTCAAATATGTTAATTTGCATCTTGATAGCACCCTTTTTAAACTAAAAAAAAACAATGGCTAGAAGTTGAAAATACAAGTGTAATCAATTGAAATTTAGTTTCCTCGACGACTCAAACCATCTGTTCAAAATCTGATCTACCTTGATGTTATTGTGGATCTTTTTAAAGAAAAGTAAATATGTTTACTTGCTGTTCTGTAAAGATGGGGCAAATGCTTAACAGAAGACAGAGGAACCACTTGCTGCTACAAATGTTTGCCAAGAAAAGAAAATCCAGACAAAGCACTCTTTGCCTGACCAAAGAGATTAAAAATCTAAAAAACTAAACTAAAACTAAACAAAACTAAAGCCATTTGCCATATTTTTTCCTTTGAGGTCAGGAGTGTTCACCCTTTGGGTTTTCCTTTAGGAACTTACCTGCGAGAAGACCCTGGAGGACTCTGTCCAGGAATAACCAGACTGGAATGACTACAGAAAGGCAAAAGCACACCGATTCTGAGTTATCTTTACAAAGTTTTGGTTTACTCTAACACGTTCCTTCCAGTACATTGAGACCCAGAACACTGGGGACATGGAAGGATGAGGACACAGCAAGTTTTCACACCAAAACTTTACAGAGAAGATAAAAGTATTTTTGCTTTCAAGATGTAACTGCAGAACAGCAATACTCTTCCTCCATGTAGCTCTCAGGGCACTTGCATGTACTTCTTCCTACCATGACCGTAATTAGATGGTCTTTTGACCTAGGGAAGTTGACTCCAACAGCTACTGCAACACACATCCCACGTGCATCAGCTTTTCTCTTTTTTTTTTTTTTTTTTTTGTGGGGGGTGGGGTGGGAATCACCTGTTTCATTCACCCATTCTAGAAGCCCCTCCCATGAACAGCTTTAGAGAGTTTTATCTAGGCCTCATAGGCAGCCTGCAGCTACTAGACCCACTCCAGTCAAAATCGGAACTATTTTTAAATCTTGTAACTTGAGTATATTGCCTTTATGTTCAGAGAATAACTGTTCTCTGAAGTCAGTTGGTAGCTTTGTGGGCCTATGTGCTAAAACTCTGGAAATACTGCACCTGCCAAGAACAAGATGCATTTCAAAACCAGACTGGAAGCCCAACAGAGTAGGTACTTTGACTTTATCCAGCTTACTATCAGCACTGTATTTTTTTCCTATAGTGTTAACACATTAGTACACATCTCCATTACTTTGTCAGGAGAAACTAAGAAACCAGGTATTAATTCTGATTTAGAAACTGGTCAGTTCACACAATACTTTGCAGCCACTTTCTAAAGGGTGGCTAATTATGAAATAGTCCATTTTGGACCTTAAACTCACTCAGGATCTGTACCTCCACAGGAAAGTTGCTGGGAATACACAAATCAAGAGGTAAGAAACAGCTTACAAATAAGGAAATCCTGTACACTGTTAACAGTGTACATGCTGCGTCAAATCCCTGTCTGACTCCTGCTCTCTCCCCTCTGACTGATTTCCCATGGGATGTTAAGTCTGGGTAAGAGCCACCTTTTTCCTTCAAAGTCAGCAGAACTTTGCCAACAGCAGCAAGCACAAGACAAAGCGTGGCAAGCCCACAGAAGCTGGGTGGCTCAGCAGAGGAGAGCTCTCGGCAGCAAGAGTCATCTTCAATCTGAAATCCCTGGTCAGCGTTTGCACTGCGCTGACTCATTTCCTTGTGAAGGAAGTACATGCCACAGAGCACGCACCTTCACAGTGATGAGGGAGTAAGTAAAATCCCTCCCTGATACAATGCTAGAACAGATTAGGCATCTTTATGGGGTGATTACACATCCGGTAGATAAATGTTGTCTTCTACGTGAAACAGCTACCCACGGCCCACTCCTCATCCTTGCCAGGCTCTCGTTCTTGCACTTCACTACCACTTGTGTGTGTTAATGCACAAGACCAGAACCACCTTCTTTCGCATGTTAGTACAAAAAGGGCATAAAACTCCACCTCAACTAATAACGAGATGCTATTCTTTCAATTGCACTCAGCCTTCCATGGAAGGGTTCACCAGTCCCAGCCCATCCCTTGTTCGGATCAGGCACTTTTACCCCCCAGCCCTCATCACCTTAACAGACAGCACCTAATTAATGTGTCCCACCCTGCCTTTATCTTTTCCGTACCACTTCCCCCACGCTCTGGGAGGATCCTGCTCTGGGAAGCAGCAGGATGCAGTTTACCTGGTGTGATCTGGCGGGCACGCTGTTTACCAGACCCTCTGTCTCGGAGGGCGACTTCTGCGGAGCCTGCTTAACCGGTGACATCAAGCTCTCAGATGTACTGCAGCTGACGAGGTGGCAGAGCAGAGTTTGCACGACAATGTTCAAGAGGCACAACAACAACAAAAAAAAAAGAACAAAAACAAAAAACGAATGATGGCAAGATGAATGTGGCAGATAATGCCAAAGTAAAAGTGAACATAATGGATTCTGAAATAAACACAAATAATTCTCCATCTCTCCCCAGACATTTCTCTATCCTTCTTCCCAGAGTCTCACTGGTAAGCAACACGAAGGAACACCTATTAAAACAGGACAGCAGCTCCTCCAAAACCCCTGTTCCCTAGATAGTCCCATTCAACCCAATCTGCCTAAAACTGTATGTGTTTTCTTCACGGAGGCTTCAGACTCAGTTAACAGTGGTAAACAGCAATTACCTTCTTCCTATAAGCTAAACAGTCCCAGTCGCTGAGGCAAGTGTTATACCAGTGCTACAGTTAGGGCGAACACTTGCAAGAGCCGCCAGGTCTCCGTACCAGAAAGGTACTTCCTACCAAACTCCACATCAGTTCCCTTGCTTTTGGTTAGGCTACGATCCCAAAATAATTCTGCCCACTCACAGCAGACACTAGTCTCTGGAGCCATTCTTTTAAGAGTCACACGTGACATGTAAGCTATGTGCCCTAATATAGCCACTTGAATATCTAATCAGGCAAATCCTGGTTTTCAAACAAGGAAACTGTCTTGTAGTGAGAACCAACACCCCTAAAAGAAGGTTGCCTGTTTTCACTCTCTGTTTGCATCTTTTCATCTGCTTAAAGCAGGACTGAAAAGAAAACAAGCCTGTGGCAGACAGAGAAATGAATGCCACAGAGCTACGTATATGAGCAGATGCCCTTAAACTTAACGTCAGTAGCTTCTGGGCAATGCAGTAATGAGTCTCTAAATGCTAGGTCTACCTCCTCATATGCAAGCACCCAGGAAAGAAAACTAGCCACCACCTTGATAACAGACACAGGAGTTCCCATTGCTACCACAACCCTCTGACCACTGGGCATTCTTTTCCCCGAATCTTTGTAGACAGACAGCGTACAAAGCAAGTACAGAAACAAACAAATGAGGACAGTGACATTAAGCAGACCACCTCCTCACAGGGCAATCATTTTTTTATCCTTTGGTAAGTCTAACCATAGAAGACTTAGCTCCTTATACATGCAGCAGTAAGAAAAAAAACCCTAAAAATACTGTCCCCCAGCCATCATGGCAAGGGGCTTCTACTGCCTCAGAGACAAAGCAGCCCTTCTGTTACCAAAATGATGTAATCATGAACTGTTTGCTTTATTCACAAAATTCCTCAGATCTACACTATCTAAAAGTCGTAATTCAGGTTTAAGCAACTAATGCACTTAGATCACTGCAAGTTTTCAAATGCCTGAGCTGTCTGAGCCAGAGGAATACTCATAGGGAATTTACTTTTATTTCGACACAGAAAGGGCTCTGAATTTCCTGAGCTTTAGTCAATGCACTGGCAAGTTCACCATTGGAAGAGATGGAGGGACACCATTGGGGATAAGCAACGATCCCACCCCAGTTAGACATGAGACAATGAAACCCAAGCACCCAGTGAAATGCATCATCCCTTTGCCAACAGATTCCAGCACAAATTACAGTGATGTTAGTAGAGAGCTAGCTGGTTAGTTCAGCAAAGGAAGAGGAAATGCGTACACATACACACAGGTATTAACAGCAACCACCAACTTGATTAGTTACCATGGTGTCTAGTGGGACTGGAAGAGAAGACCCAGCCCTGTTACATTCCCAATCTGGCGTCTATATCAGGATCTCTGTAAGGAGAGGAAGGTAAGCAGGATCCGATCCCAGCACACCAAGGCAGAAAGAAAACCAAAAAAACCAAAAAAAACCAAAAAACCACCAAAGTCAGAGCATGAACAGAGACTGGGGCCATGCAGGGGTTCCAGATGCCGTGCAGTGCCCCAGCCCACCTCAGTTCAAGGCAGAATGGTTATCTAAGAATAAGTGCATCTCACCACCACCACACACTGGGTTAGCATCATGTAGAAGACAGTCCGTAAGTTTGGAGGGGGTCACAGCACGCTTGGTTTCTCTTTACACGTCATGCAGAGCTGGCATGGTCAGTGAAAGCAGTATTTGAACATCAGAGATTACCTTCCCTAGAGAGCAGTTAAATCTACTACAAGAAATTACAGTGCGTGAGCTACTGCTCCAGGCTCAGCACCAGCGTGTGTCCTTCAGGAGGAAGGCACTGGAGAGCAGGTCACTGGGAAGCAAGGCAAGCGGACCACCTCACGCACACTGTTGGTGCATGACACTGCAGGCTTCTTTTCAGTTCTTAGGGGAAGGACACATGCAGAAAGGGAAAACCAGGCTTTCCACACAATTTTGAGCACACGCAGACGCCTTTGCTATATTTAGCCTTACCATGGGCAATAGCCAACTCACTTTCTCTAAGCTCTCCAACTGGGAAAAGGACAGGGCAAAGTTTAATTTAGACATCCCCACAAGTTTATTTTTGGAGTTATTTTCTTTTATGCCACAGGCAACCCAAAGAACCTGCAGGAAGCAGGACTATTTGTTGGGGAAAGAACAGAAGAAAGTTATAGGTTTGGGGTTTGTTTCTAAGACTACACACATAATTTTCATTCTTTCTTATAGAAGCAAATTACCAGCTGATTAGAGAGGAGAAAAAAGCAAGCACCTCCCCCACCAGCACCAAGCTCCATCACCACAGGACTCAAGTCTGCCTTTGTTAGTTCTTGCTGCTTTTTTGTATGCCCACTCAAAGATCTGTGCTTCACTTTGGAGTTGTCCTCCTAACACTAAAAACCTTGCAGGGGTGGGTAACAGTTAACAAAAAACAGACAGTGAATGAGAATGGATGCAGAGTGGCTACTCCTTCCTTCCTTTGAAGTGTGGAGATGAATGGGGTTTTGGCAAGTATACTCCAGGCTCAGGAGCCAGACACTAGTAACTGAAAAATCCAGTCTTAATCTCAACACAAAGCATTCCCTAAAAGTGCATGTGTGGCACTTTTCTTTTGGGGGTTGGGGGTGGTAGGGGGAAGCAGGGCTGGAGGGAAGGGGAACAGACCAGAGCTAGGGGATCTTGGATTAAATGTTCTTAGGGCATTTATGTTTGTGGCTGGGGATCAGCTCCAACATTTAGTGATTTTCAGGTGCAACTCATGATCAGTAGGTCTTTTCCAAGCACAGTACAAAGATAATAATTTATAGGCAGATGACCAGGGTTCCACATGGCCAGACCCTATCTCTAGCCATGTGGGACTTGGCTGAAACAACTCCTACCCCCCTTTAAGCCCTCCCTCTGATCCTGCTACTGTTCCTCACATCATCCAGAGGTGAGGAGGAAGATCTCTTACCCAGAGTATCGTTTTTTAGAGTTGTTCTTTCTGATGACAAGACACACGACAATAGAGATGAGCGGTGAGAGACCTGTAACCGTACCGATGACTATCCCTGCCACCATGGCAATGGGGAACGCAGGCAGGCTGTCTGGGGAGAGAAGGGAGAAAACATTCAACTCTTCTGCATTCCCTGATTAACAGAACCACAAATGCTCTTGACCTTGGATTCGTTTACAGCAGAAGGCACTAATGTAATACCCGGGAATTATAACATGCAGCCTAAGTGGTAGCAATAGCAGGCAGCCAGCAGAGTAACATATGGACAGAGCACACACCAAGAGTGTTCTTTATGTCACCATCCTTCAGAAGAGAGTTTATACTGAACCAAGAATTTTTACATGTCATGGAACACAAGTGGCAATGAAGACCACCCTGTCTCATTTTGTATCTGAAGGGGAAAAAAAAAAAAAAAAAAGTTACATTCATCTGTCAGTTCCCAGAGAGGTCAACAGGAAGAGACAGGCATGCTTCAAAGCAGATTTGAAGGTAGTACATTGCTAACCAACTAAGAGGGCTGAAGGCTGGGTGTTCTCTGGGTAGCATGCAGCAGACAGCCTAGTTACTACCCATGATTACTCTTAAGAGTGTTTATACATGATTCTGGTGTCTCAAAGTACATCTCTACATGTTTTTATAGAGTCATTCTTTCCCTTCTTAAGTCAGGATCATTGTACAATACTAGAAATGTGCCTATAGGAACACAGTACTGCTTTACTCATGTTTTACCCAGTATAATTTTGGGGGAGGGTAGGGCAAGAAAGAGCAGCCAGAAATAAAAGCCAATCAGAGAATTAATACAAAAGACTTATAAGATAAAGAATACACAGACAGCCATCATCGCTTTTCCCAGTAAGTCCCTGCCCCACATCATGTTTAATGCAAGGAACATCTTAGACCAGAAGGCTTCTTACAAGACTCCATGCTACACTAGCTATTTGCACCAAATACAAGTGAATCAGCGTAGTAAGATCTAACACGTAAAACATCGGGGCCGGGGGGGGGGAATCTGTCTCAGATACCTGAGGGACATCTTGAGATTGTCTAGTCCAACCCTCCTGCTCAAGCAGGGACAGTTAGCACAGTTTGCTCAATACTCTGTCCAGTTTGGTTTTGACTGTCTCCAAGGACGGGAGACTCCATAGCCTCTTTAGGCAACCTATTCCACTGTTCAACCACAGTAAAAAGATGTTTTCTCATGTTCAGACATAATGTTCTGTGTTTCCATTTACGCGCACTGTCTCTTGTCCTGTCACAAGACACAACTGAAGAGCCTCGATCCGTCTTCTGTAGATCCTACGAATGTACATAAATACCTGGTGAGAGGATCCCCCTGAGCCTTTCTTCTCTTTTGCAGGCTAGACAACCCCTTTCCTTCTCTTTTGCAGGCTAGACAACCCCCATGCTCTCGGCTTCTCTTCATATGAAAGGTGGTCCAGTCCCTTAATCATCTTAGTCGCCCTTTGCTAGACTCATTCCAGCAAGGACCACAGACCATGCTTATACAAAGCATTCCCAGCAAGTCTGCATTCTGTAGACCAAGCCCATTTTGACATAATTATCTAGAAGAGAGCAGCGCAAGACAGTACCCTGAAGCAGGGGCATCATACTAAGAAAACAGGGCTTATATTTAGTACTGTTCATTTTGAGTTCAGTGACTTTCAGGAGACGGGCTACCTGATCTCTAGCTGCTTCACTGATCATACCATCATTTGGCCAAATATCGCATCAGTAGCTTTCCTAGCTCTCCACTGTTAGATGCCAATTCACAACAATGTGGTAATACAGAGTCTTAGTAAGAAATTAAAGATGAAGACATGAGTGCCACAATTTAGAGGAAGACATCCCTTCTTTCCAGAACCTTTCGGCAGCCCAGAGATCCATCTGCTATTAAGGAAGAGAGTCGTACAAATGGTAATACTTTTCAGGTATGTAAGACTACGACTGTGTTCGAGCCCCATGCAAAGATAAACAGATCTATTTTGAGGTATATAAGAAGTAGGAGTTCCCTGGTTTTCTGTGCTTTTGCACCTTTCCAATGCAGGAATAACTGTCTGCAGAAGCATCAAAACAGACACGTGTTTCTGTTAGCAGACCAGCTGTTGCCTTGTACACAGGAAAAAAAACCAAACCAACATACTCTTTTTCAGACCAAGAAAGTAAGCAGCAATCCAAAACTATAGGGCGGTGTGTCTGCTGAAAGAGTGACATTAAAAATTTGATAGTTTTGTCATTTCTTTGAGTCAGGTAGGGTTTTTTTAGTTGGTTGAATTTGAGGAAAGGGCAGCAGCTATGTTCTGTTGACAGGGATTTTTAAGACCATATGAAAAAAAAATGCAACTGTTTGCACGTGAAACTAGAGTCTGGCTTTATTGCCTCTCAGAACATGGTCCAATAGACTACAGAAAAGCTCACACAACTTTATGACCATATAGTTCAGCTGAAGAATGCCTACCCCCCGCCACGTCGTTCTTATATTTTTCAGCATTCCACAGTTACACGGATTCCTCATAAGTACTTGCAGAGCAGCCAATGACTTCATTGTAACATACAGCCCCGGCTGCATAACCAAACTCCAGCTCTGAAAGCTAACATTTAAGTTAATAGCTTAACACAAGCCAAAAATTCAGCCTTTCAAAGAACACTTTCCGCTAAATATCACCGTAATTCAAAGCAACTTCCATTTTCGCTGGAAGCATGTTAGAACCAGTTTTATGAAACAGGCAGGAAACTGAAGTTTTCCATTGCTGCTAAATACAAAGATTTTCATATGACAATTCTAATTTTTTGCCCCATGAGAGTTCAGATCAAAGATGGCCTATCTCCAGATAACACAAGCTGTCTTCAACACTCTGTTAAGCAGCTTTCTATTACATGTAGGGGCAGCCTATTGTAAGGACTTCGAATTCCCTACAAAATTCTGTCATTTAGGCTTTGAACAGTAGTCCTTTCCAGATTCAGATGCACTAGTGAAAGAACAGTATTGCTTCTCATCCCTGCCGGTAGGATTCTTCCAATCTAGTTGATAGAGCTGTTTGTGCAAACACTATGTAGATACTGCAGTGAAAATCAGCTGAGTTATCTTGGCTTGGCAATTTTAAACAGTTAAGCCAACCTGGAATTTATGAAATGTTTAATCCAAAATCTAAGGCTAACCAAGCATCTATGAGATCACTTAAATGTGTAAAGTATATATGTGGCTTTGAACAGTTCACAACTCCAGACATATGATTCAGAACAATTAAATGTATACATAGTAAAAAAAAAAAAAAAATATGCACAAGAATCAACATGTACTTATTTCAACTGAAAAAATTTCTCCAGCTCATTTCAGGATGAGTTACAACCTATTACATGAGCAGTATTTTCAGGTAAAGCCGGAATGCAAGACAGCATTACAGCTATAGCTTGAAAACCTGTTTTCAAAGTCTTCCTAAGACAATTGTTGCAGCATTTTTCTGATGACGAGAAGTAAGTCAAATACAGGGTTCCCTTCAGAAACAGTGAGATTCTCTTGTCCAGATGCTCCACTTATGGGGAAGCCAGCATGCAAGTCTGTTAAAAAATATCAGCTGAATTAGTGTACTGAAGTCAGCCTTCATTTGCTTAACCTAGGTTAAAATCTGAAGAGGCTTTGCCAAGACAGCCCGACTTTGCCAAACCAGCAGTTGCTTGCTGCTTCTTCATAGGGACTATCAACACATTGTAAGAAAATAAATTGGCCCTATTTTATATAGGCTTCAAACTTCCAAGAAACATGAAGTTCTAAGTGATGGTGGGACCCCCAGAGGTCCTATCCAACACAAACTGTCCTGTGAAGTGGAGAGTTAGATATAGACCTTGCCTACATAAGTACATGGAATGATCTCGTGAGCAGGGGTACATGCCTGTTATAGCAGCAGTATCATTCTAATTAGAGCATACACATAGGTATCTTCCCTAACATATTAAAATCTAACGGAATAGCTGTATCAGCAATGCCATTTATGAATTCAACATTTATTCTTGTCCTTATTAAAAATCAGTTTGGAAATCTGATCACTGTAAGAACCATTTCATTGTAGGAACAGTCACACTTTGGCTGACCTCCAGCTTAGCCAGAGCAATCAAATGTTTTGGATGGCCAAGGCAAATTAAGAGCCAAATTGGCATACAGAACATAAGTGTTCTTGAACTGTGATCATTGTTACCAAATGCTAACCAGAAGCCTTAAATGACTGCAAGTAGCCAGCTCTTGCAGTTTATAAGGGTCACCATGGATACTGTAAGAACACCCGAGTAAAAGACTGAATGCACATCCAACACAAACACTTTTGCACGGAAGACAGTAGCATTTCACTGCCTGTCAGTACGTGCTCAGGTGAGATTATTAGCTTTGTTTTCCATTACATATGCTGGATGGCTTCCAAAGAGAAGTCTCCCACTTTCTCTCCTTGTTCCCTGATTTCAAAAGTCATCTTAACCCTTGATGCAGCATAATACAGAAAAAAAAAAAAAAAAAAAAAAAATCACAGGCCTTTGAAATGAGAAGGTAGGTTTTAATCAATGCTTTTATCAGCTTTTGCTAATACTTGTTAAAAGCATAGGAAATAGTGGGTATAGAGGAAAAGCGTATCACATTCATTTTTTAAAACAGCCGACACAGTATCAGTTTGATTATTAGGACCTGGAAGAAGAGAATTAAAAAAGAGAGTTGTTCCCTCCAAGCTACTCCCCACCCCCAAGAAAAGTGATGTAGACACAGAAGGCAGGGGAGAGGGGGAGGGAAGAAGGAAAGAAAAAAAAAAAAAAAAAAAAAAAAAAAAAATCATATAGAGTGAATACCTTTCTCCACAACTCTAACTCGGATTTCTCCTGGTTTGACAACAATGTCAGGTGGGTTCTTGACATCGCAAATGTAAGTGCCGTTGTCCCGGAACTGCATGTTTGATATACTGATAGAAGCATCTTTCTTGTTAAGATCTCCAGCCCAAGTGATCCTGTCTTTGAATGGTATGTCCTTTCCAGGGTATGGCTTTCCATTAAAGTAATAGAAAAACTGTAGTCAAGGAAAAGAGGATAGAAGAACAATCCAATTAGAGATTACAGAGCTACCATGCTTCTCTCATTATTACAGCATTCTCCCCATATCCACTGTATTATACACAGCTAGTATTTGAGATTTTTTTTTTTTTCCTCCTGCCTCACCGCTTCGGTCTGGCTTGCTGCCTCTTGATCACGTAACTATGCTATGGCTTATACCCCAACCATACTATCACAACAGACTGCAAGTTTCGGTTTTTCTCTTGGTTTGGTTTTGTTTTCTTTTGGGGTTTCACAGACAACGAGGTGGGGGAAAAAGGCTGGTAACCTGGGAATAATTAAAGGATAGAACAGTTCAGGATCACAGCAATCTGTTTTTCAGGCACAGGAAGCCTTCTGCATCCTAGTAGGAAAAGGATACCAAGTATCCTGTGTTGTGTTTTGCTGTGTTACTTGCAACTACAGCATGGCTAAATTAACCTTAAATTAAATACCTTCCTTCCCTCCACACCCAAAAAAATCCCATGAGCAATTCAGGGTGTACCTAGCTGCTTTCCAGAAACCTTGAGTAACTAAATGTAACTGTTTCCCAGTTTTTAGGGGACTAAGTTGCACATTGGCCCTGCACTCCCTAGACACGACCAAAAATCCTTGAAGAATGAGCCTGTTTACTAGAGTCTGAGGAGAAACTGCGTATTTCCTCACTATACCTGACCAAAATTGGGATTTACAGCAGTAGAAGTACATGGACTTCTAAAGGACAACTCCGCTTTCAAACATACGGGATGTTTGAACACTGGCTATAACCCTAAGAGACAGATCAAGGCTGTACTGCAGGAGCACATTCATTCTTAATTTCACATTCTGAAAGAGACAAACTTAACCAAGAATCAACCTGAACTCTCTTCAGTTCAGTTTCAAGAGCATGGTTAAAGAAATTTAAGACAATATTCCAGCTTTCCTCTTTCTACAGCCTTCTTTACGAAGCAGTCTCAGTGCCACAGAACAGGCTGGCTACAAGCCAGTCCTCTTTTCATTCAAGTCATCTCCCATCTCTTTTCCTCTTCCTACCTTTGATCTGAGGCTTGCCATTCCAACATCCTCTCCATCAGACCCGCACTCTGAATATCAGGCCTGATCATTTGGCAGCACAAACCTTACCCAGATCAGGTATGTGCATGTGACTATCTGTTGTGCTGCTGTCAATCTGACACTTATTTGCTGTCTACAGGCTTGCATAAATCCAACAAACTGTCTCATCTGGTAGGTAAGAATTCTGCTAGCACACAGTCATCTGTCAACATTTGGGAGGAAATCTGCATCAATCTTCAGCACTTCCAGCTGGATTATAAGCTTTAGTGCAGAGGCACTGCTTTACCACACCCCTGTGCACGGGGTGGGGGAGGTCATCCGACTGGAAGCCTAGAATGCAAGAGGCAGATTCCTCAGCTGTCTAGGTGTCCTCACCTCGGGGAGGAGAAATCACGAAGTAAAGTAAGCCCTGAAACACAAGCTAAGTGACTCGAGCCACTCCATGCCTACGATTAAGTGATTTAACAGGAGGCTTCTTTTGAAACCTAAAGCGGATGGGTTTAGACTGGTTTAAGCCGATTGTGAAACTCTGCTGTCATCAGCTATTTCACTCAGAGATGTCTCTATAACTGGGCACCTTCCGGAGGGGGAAGAGGACGAGCAGGGGAAGCTTTTGAGTCAAGTCAGCCCCACCACATGGCCACAGGATTGCCAGTGACGATTCTAAAGAGGCACAGGACCATCCTTTTCAGGAGCAGCGTGGACTTAGCTCAGACATAAGCTGATCATGAGACTGATCTTTCAAATTAATGCCCACCAAGCCATGTAATTGACATGACTTGGGTTCATAAAAAAATATCTTCTTTCTATACCTCCCCCAGCCCCTCAAAAGAAACAGGGAATTAACATCAGATCATGCTGGGTCACTTCTGCTCGAAGATAATTTGCTTTTCTCTCAGTTGTGCTGATAACTACATCCAGGTAGAATGTCTAAATTGACTTTGGTTCCAAAAAAATGTTATGTCCTAAAGTTGTATTTCTACAATAAGGGATTTGGACAGTGATGCAGAAAGGGAAGGGTAAAACACTATATATGGTGGATATTTCTACGGGGAATGGAAAATATACAAACAGATGGCTTCTTTTCACCCATCCTGTTCAACACTGGCAGGAAATATGCCCTGCTTCCTTAAGCTTTTGCCCAGCTACTGCTCTGGCTTCCCAAAGAGAAGAGCTCCCTTTTCAAAACTAAATATTTAATCACTGAGAGTTCAGAAGCTGATTCTTTAGAGCTCTATATATTGAGCAAGATGCTCATACACCGTTTTGGATCATCTCTGTTCTGAGCATTGAATGGCTCCTAGAGTTTAAATGATCTCACTGTCTGCAGCAGAGGGAAGAAGACAAACACTAACAGGCTGGGCAACCTGCTGTCCCCACATATTCCCTGCTGCCCCAGAGTCCCTTGTTCTGCTTACTCTAAATTCTCACTCAGGGCAAGGAATAAGAGGGAAGCAGAAGTGTCAGAGAGCTCAGACTCAGATGTGCACAGCTTACGTGACAGAGAAAGGCAACGGCTAATGACCTACCAAAGCCACTTCTTTGAAGGTTCACACCCAAAGGATCTGAGCATGCTTGGGCTCAACACACAGGAAAAGAATGATGGCAATTATTATTAGCTTAAGTTGCTTGCTAGTCTGATTTTTTACTTGTCAAATAACTAAAATATGAGGATGTAACTACTTACTGATTTGAGCAATTCAATTGTGTTCTGAAGCCAGGGAGACTGGTCTTATTTTAAACCCTTTCATATAGATGCTATACAGTACGCAAGCAGAAAATAAGCAACATGCACAACACACAATGTAATGCTGTAATAAATTCAAATTCCGTGACCGCTATTATTCAGTGCACAGCTCCGCAGGTCATTTCAAGTGCAAGAGGATATAGAACTTAGGAGAAGATTCCTAGATGCTCATCTACTTCATACATACTGCTACCACACCAACCCCCTCTCCTCTGACTAACAAAGTACCAGTATATTTTACAGCCACTGCACACTCCAGTCTTTGCAGAGATCTAGCATATGGCAATACTTTTAAACTACTCTAAAAAAAAACCCCCCTAAAATCACAGTGATGGAGACAAGACACGAGGAAGGAGGCTCCAATCCATATTTGGTTGCTCCTCAGAACCAACCAGAAGACTTCTGCACACTTATCACAGCCTCCCCTCCCAGGTTTGTCTCCCTACAGCCATTCCTTACTGAGATACGAGTTGCAGCTCCCTCTGGTTGAAAACTCCAAGAAACAGATGCTGCGCTGCTGATCACTTCCACAGACGTAAATGTGCATGGAAGCTTTGCGTCTGTCCCATTCTCCACAAATATCTCCTCCGGTGTGTTGACCTCTACTGCTGATACTTTGACTGTATGGGAAAGATAAAGAGAAGAAAGAAGGAGAACAAGCGGCATCAGTGCTGTTTCGAGAATCAGGAAGTTGATTCTGTTCATATCACATTGCCTGCAAGGGGAAAAGAGAAGAGACATCAACAACTCCTATATCAAGTGTGTACACAGACATTGCACTATATGTGCAATACAAACAAGTACAGAGCAGGCCAGTTCACTTCTCTTTCCTTGTATTATCTGTTACAGGACGTTTTCCACCCACAGATGTTTCCTCTACAACAGTTTGTGGAAGTCAATTCTATGGGGCAAAGGATGAGTTTCAAACTCTTTCCTAATAGCTGCCAGCAGACACTGTAATAAACAAGCCCCATTGGAGGAACTACTGTCTTGGATCCAGCTATTACTCAGTTTCCTCTCTGGCTCACATCTTGTTTCCCATCTCCAGTTTTTCTCAGCTGCAGGTAGAACAAAAGCTCACCTCCAGAAAGCTGAGGAAAGCTCTCTGGCTCCCAGCTACGCCATCTGCTTCTGCTCTCTGGCGTGCTTCAAGGTCTTCATGTGCAAGACCTCATAAATAATCACTCAGCTATAGTTCCGAAGCATGAGAGTAGTTTATTTTCTTTCTACCATGAGGCTTATGCATGGTCAAAACAGCAAGCAGACCACAACCACCTCCCAGATTTGAAGTATTCTTTATCTGGTACCTTTTAAGCTGCAAAGACACTATCCCTACCAAGATTTAAGTAAAAATACATCTGTACATTCATTCAAGTTTATGTTAAGAAACAAAGCATGACCTTATGACATCACAAAGAATGTCTTTCAGCATTTGTGTCACATCCATGTGAAATCAAAAATCTTGCAAAATCACTGTGGGTGGGTGCACGTGACACGTGCCCCTGGTAACTCAAATGTTAGATTTTATTTTTATTAAAGCATGGCTTTCAGCATAAAGTACTAGTAATCTACTTCTGATCACATAATTCTATGTTTCTGGGCTACAGTATCTTGAATTCAGGGGGTTTTCTCCCTTATTAGAAGCCTTCCTGCTTCTTGGCATTGGTTGGATGGTCACATCCAGAAAGTAGTAGTCAACAGCTCAATCTCCAGAACGAGATCGGTGACAAGCGGTATCCCTCAGGGGTCCATACTGGGACCAGTACTGTTAAATATCTTCATCAATCACATGGACAGTGAGATGAAGTGCACCCTCAGCAAGTTTGCAGACAACACCAAGCTGCGTGGTGTGGTTGACATGCTCAAGGGACAGGACACCATCCAGAGGGACCTGGACAAGCTTGAGATGTGGGCCTGTGTGAACCTCATGAGGTTCAACAAGGCCAAGTGCAAGGTCCCACACGTGGGTCAGGGCAATCTCTGGTATCAATACAGGCTGGGGGGATGAAAGGATTGAGCGAAGTCCTTCAGAGAAGGACTTTGGAGTACTGGCAGATGAAAAGCTGGACACAAGCAGGTAACGTGTGCTCGCAGCCCAGAAGGCCAACCACATCCTGGGCTCCATCAGAAGAAGTGTGGCCAGCAGGTCAAGGGAGGCAATTCTCCTCCTCCTCTCCACTCTGGTGAGACCTCACCTGGAGTTCTGCGTCCAGCTCTGGAGCCCTCAGCACAGGAAAGACATGGACCTGTTAGACCGGGTCCAGAGGAGGGCCACCAAAATGATGTGAGGGCTGGAGCACCTCTCCTATGAGGACAGGCTGAGAGAGTTGGGGTTGTTCAGCGTGGAGAAGAGAAGGCTCAGGGGACGTCTTATAGTAGCATTTCAGTACTTAAAGGAGGCCTATAAGAAGGATGGGGACAATTTTTTTTAGCAGGGCCTGTTGCAATAGGACAAGGGGTAATGGTTTTAAACTAAAAAAGGGTAGATTTAGACTAGATATAAGGAAGAAATTCTTTACAATGAGTATGGTGAAACACTGGAACAGGTTGCCCAGAGAGGTAGTGGAGGCCGCATGCCTTTAAACATTCAAGGTCAGGTCGGACAGGGCTCTGAGCAACCTGATCTGGTTGAAGATGTCCCTGCTTATTGCAGGTAAGTTGGACTAGATAACCTTTAAAGGTCCCTTCCAACCCAAACTATTCTATGATTCCATGATTCTTCAGTATCTTAGCTGATTTATTTCTCAACTCTGAATAAACTAGCCCTTGAAGTAGGCAAACTAAAGAGAAAGATACCAGTCAAAGACAGTTTAAAAAAACAAAACAAAACAAATAAGAAAAACCCACCTACATTAGTCCTTAAATCATGGGGTTTATGCTCTTAGACAGTGAGAGCTACCAGCTCAGTAGCCTTCAAAAGTTACACAGCAAGCTTCCTTCAAGTGATATCATAGAATCATTTGTTGGAAAAGACTTTTAAGATCATCGAGTCCAACTGTACCTGTCCACCACTAAACCATATCTCTAAGCACTTCATCTACACGTCTTTTAAAAACCTCCAGGGATGGGGACTCCACCATTTCCCTGGGTAGTTCATTCCAGTGCCCGATATCCCTTTCAGTGAATAATTTTTTCCTAATATCCAATCTAAACCTCCCCTGGCACAACTTGAGGACATTTCTCCTCATCCTATCACCCATTACCAGGGAGAAGAGGCCAACCCCCACCTCACTACAGCCTCCTTTCAGGGAGTTGTAGAGGGCAATAAGGTCTCCCTTCAGCCTCCTCTTCTCCAGGCTAAACAACCCCAGTTCCCTCAGATGCTCCTCCTAGGACTTGTACTCCAGACCCCTCATCAGATTTCTTGCTCTTCTCTGGACACACTCCAGTACCTCAATGTCCTTTTTGTAGTGAGGGGCCCAAAACTGAACACAGTATTCAAGGTACAGCCTCACCAGTACCGAGTACAGGGGGATGAGCACTTCCCTGCTCCTGCTGGCCACACTATTTCTGATACAAGCCAGGATGCTGATATGGCCATCCTAAGGTGTATATTTGCCATAAACCAGGTTATTTTATTGAGGCTTAAAATTAAGCAAAGGCCATGCTCTATAGGTAATTTTAGAAACCATCTTTTACATATCCGACTTTAAGCCTCGCTCCCGAAGAAAACAAAGCTCATGTGAGCTGTGCAACTTCCTGTCTTCTTCCCTTGCCCTGAGATTACAGAGTCTATTGGGCAACTCCAGCTGCAGCACAGGACCACAAACACAGGAGATAGCGGCAGCTGGCCCTGCAATACAGACTCCCTGCAAGCTCTGGAAGCTGTAGTTCAGTCAACAGTGAAAGAAATGAAAACACCCTGGCCATCTGGGTACACCCAACAATCACTATGTGCATGGTTTTGTAGGAACCACCGTCTCTCACCCAACCAGCATGGTAAGCCAGGAGAAGGTAGAGCACATGCCCAAGGGACACGGAATGAGCGTGCAAGCACTACAGGGGTGGGAGAATTAAGCATAACAGTTTAATTACAATAACCAAACCCAGAAGAAACCACCATTCATTCACTTTGCTATTCAGAGTCCACCCTGTTCACTTCTCAAACTCGCTAAGTCCTCAGTCCCGCCAGGTTCTCCCTGATCCCTCAGACTCCTCTGTCATCATTGCTCTCATTTCAAATAAGTGAAAGAGAAACAGCACCCTAAGGGAGGGGGATTTTCATCAAGAGGTTGTATCAGAGCTTCCTTTCTCTTGTACATACCCTGACTATGGGCCAAAAAATATTCTTTTGTAAAACAATTACCAAATATTTATTTGGAACATACAAAGGCTTCTAGCAATTCAATGAAATGAAGTCAGAGCTGCTGTGCTTTATGTATTTTTTCCAGCTAATGGAGAAGAAAAAAACCTAAAATCCATTGTTTTGAGTCTGAGCCACAGAACAAGCCTCCCTTTCAAGCGTAAAACAAGCAAGATGCCCTCAGCATTTGTGTAGGAGGAAAAGAGTCTGCACAGACATTGTCTGCTCATACGTGGTACAGAGAACTCCTTGCCAAACACAGGCAGTGAGTAGCACAGATCTGCTTAATCTCAAGTCACTGTTCTAGCTCACTAGCAACTCGTGGGAGAAGCGTAGTGAAACAAAAGAAAAAAAAAAATCCGAATTCTCCCTACAGTCTGGGAAGACATGAACTATATAATCTTGTACAGATATTTCCAGAAAGTTTAATTTTCGTATGTCCTATTGTTGTGTAAACTTCATGTTTTATTTTGCTCATTCTCTCCCCCCAGCCTAAAAGAAGTCCGTCACTTTATCTGCTCTTTCAGAGTGCATCACTTCAAAAATAATTTTCCTGCCTCTTGTCTTACAGCATGAGACATAAGCTCCTCAAATCTTAACGTGATTTTTTGGAAGTGGTAGAGAGGCCATAACATTTGACATTAGTTCACCCTTACCCCTCTACTCTCATACTTACACTGATATGGTGGCAGTTCCCACTACCTTGAAGTCTTTGGCCTCTTTGCCATAATAAGATCCACATGGATCATTTCCAGCTCTAGCTCTTTTCCATCTCTTTCCACATTTGCCAGGATTACATCCTTCTTCCAGCTCCTCCATCTATATAAATATTTCATATGGAGAAAGCAGTATCTGGAGTCATATTCCACTCATACTTACCCACTGCTCTGTTCCTCAAGCTTACTCAGCCTTAGTTCCTCTCAAGAGGAAAATTTATCACAGGAGACCATCTGAGATAGAAGAGAGCTTTAAGAAGGGAAGGTCTGCAAGATACATAGGGGAAAGACAAATATTTGCTCTTCTCCCATGGATCCTCCTTGATCCCATCACCCTGTCCAACTGCCCGTAGCCCACATATTTCCCTCTGAATGCTCCTTCTAGCCTTCAATTGCTTTAATTCTTCTTTTCAGCAGAAAGATGCTTCTATTTTTCTCACCTACCATCAAAATTATTGGGAAAAACACACCTGTGCCTCTTCAGGCATTTCTTTTTCATCTCTAGTGTTGCTGGAGCAGTTTCACTCCAACTACATCAGCTCTCACCAGCTAAATTTTCAGCCCCCACACTTCAATGAAAAGACTTCATCCTCATCCTCCT